TAAGCTTCTATTCTTTCTATAATATTTTAAAAGCAGAATTGTACTTTATATAAAATTTTAATTAAATATTCAATAAAAATAGAGGCATGGCCTCATCATTAATATTAAAAAAAAACTAGTATTGTATAAAAATTTGATGTAAACTTATGATAAGACTACTAGGTATAAAAAACTAAAAAACTAAAAAAACAGAAATTTATAAGTAAAAAAATAGTACAAACTTTTGATGCTATTGGACTAATAAAAACTTATAAATCATTTTTAAAAAAATAAACAGATAAACTGAATAACAGATATATAAGAAAGCATATACATTAACTAGACTATCAAAATTATTAAAGAAAAAGAATGCATAAGTATATTATATTAAACTATCAGGATTGATAATTTAAAAAGTTTTGTTAAATCTAAATAACAATTAATAAAAATAATAAAGAAGATATTGAAAAGATAAATACTAAAGTTTAGATAAACTTTATAAGAATTTAGTAATTTAATAATTAGCCTTAACTGCAAATACTAATCTAATTCAAAGTAATACTAGATTATTTGTAAGTATAAGATACAAAAAATTTTGATAAATTTAATACAAAATTAAAAAATTTTAATTAAATAAACTATTTTAAAAATTTTATAACCATGATATATTTGTATTGATATTGATTAAAACAGTTGATAAGACAAGTAGGTGATAAATATAAGAACTAGAGTATTTAAATAGAGAACTTACAAGTAGGTTCTAGATATAATAACTAGTATAAAACTTTTAAATAAACTACTTAAATTAGATAATGACTAAAATTGTATAAGTGACTAGTTGTACACTTTTTTCATGATTGCCTTGTAGTTGTTGTACAAACAGCTATTAGTTAAAAAATACTATTAATAAAATTCTAGATCACAAGTACTCACTTTAACATTATTAAAAAAAAATAATATAAAATAATAATTACAAATTTAATTGCAAAAATAAATCAATAATTATCCAAATATGAAAATATTATTTATATTTTAGAATAGTAATGTAATTGAAGTCTGGTCCCAAAGTTTTTTTTTAACAAACAATGTTTTATAAAAAATTATTATTTATATTTTAAGTTTTTTTAGCTTTAATTTAATTCTGTTATTCTTTGTTAAATTAGTGTTCCCACTATTTGTAATATGATTTGAGAATTACCAAGCACAGGTGCTGTGAATATTAAAGATTATATAGCCGTGTTAGTTAGGATAACAAAAAAAAAAAAAAAGGCAAGTAATTTTTAAATCTTTCATATAAATGTGGTTAGTTTAATATTTAACATCCGTGTCAAAATAGAATAACAACCGATTTCTTGTAATGCATTAAATGTCACACATTTATTGTTACTGTATCAATTTTTGGTTGGTTGATACAACAAAAGTTTAATTATATGTATGACCAAATTTTTATTTATTTTAAAACAAAGAATTTTGGTAAGTTTTGCAAGCTTGTACAGGAATTCTTAATCGAAATCAGAGTAGAGAAATACTCAAAATATCATTAAAAGTCAAAAATTTATGGTTGTGAAATAAATATACATTGAATTTTAGGTATGTATTATTTTAGAATCTGAAAGTAACAAGCTTATTGTATAAAAAAATTTTTTTTGACTCACTCAAGATTAATGAGAATAATAGTTAAAAAAGTTGAAGAAATTGTTTAAAATTCGCATTCCAATTTATATGCGTTGTTATATTATTGTTTTTTTTTTGACATCAATCAATATATCTACGTATAAGTTATAGAAACAATGGTATGTTGCGCATATTCACAAGTTATGCAAAAAAAGATTACGCAACATTAAATTTAACAGCAGGACTCTTATGTATTACAACTTTAATTTGATATGTTTCTAAAACAAGATACCTTCAAAAATGTGGAATTTCTAATCTAAATTATTTGAATAAGACATGTAATACATACCGATACAGTATTTGTTACAATGATGTACAATCGCAATGTCAAATTCCAAAAGCAATACATTTTTGAGCACATGTTCTTCCACAGTACCGATGAACTTTTCCATTGTGTTCAACGTAACAACGTTTAAAACACATCGGATGAGCGCATCTAATTTACATAAATCGGAAATGTTTACATAAGTAAGAAGGTAACATAAGTACAAAAAAGACATATGATTAATGAATCACAAAAAGCAGTCTCACCGAGGAATCATGTTTGCACAAGTTCGACAACAAAATTCGTGTACCTTTCCATTTTCAGAGTAACGTAGGTTTGTACAATTTTCACGTAAACATTTTAACAAATTTTTTTGAAAATTCAAAGTTGTATCAAAATTTAAATTATGATCAAAAGAAGAAGTTGAAGTTTCAAAAGACGAAGTTGAAGTTTTTTGGTGATTTGAAATTTGTTGATTTAACATTGTAATTTGATCAAAGTTGTTTGAAGAAAGTGTTTTATCGTCAAATTGATTCTTTATCGATTCGAAGTCATGTGAATTATCAGTAGAATGATTGTTTCTAGACCTAGGCCAAATAAAAAAAAAAATTTAAACCGACATTTAGAAAAATAATAAGGATTTTTTAGGAACATACTCTTGAATGAGAGGTAATTGCATGATCGATTTTGATTTTAGAAATTGGATGGGAAGAATTGGAAAAATTGGGAAGAGTGTTGAAATATGATATATTAATGAGATAATTTTTATTTGACTCGAAAAAGTTTAATAATATACATAAATTTTACTGTTTTTTTAGTGTTAAAAGGTATGATAAATTAATGGTTTAACTATTTACGTAGGTATGCACTCACATATACGTTACAGTATTTGCGTACATAGGACGTACGTCGGCGATTAAATAGTGTAATGATTGGTGTCAGAATTAGTGTCAGAATTGATGTCAGAATTAGTTGTGTAGTGATTTTAGTTATACTTGAAATCAAAGAAAACAAATTTAAAAAATTCTTGTAAATAAGCAACTTAATAAAATAAATAAGTCGAATTGGATTATTCAAGTTTACAAGATTTTAAATTATTATTTATTCATTAACGTGTATATTATTAAAGTTTTATATTTGAATGTATAAAGATTGGTATGTATAAAGATTGGGTTTTTTTTCACAACAAATATTTAAAGCCCACAGTTTATATTTACTTAATGCAGCTTAATATAGTTTAAGGTAGGTTAATGTAGCTTAATGTAGCTTAATGTAGCTTAATGTAGCTTAATGTAGCTTAATATAGAAGAAAAGATCAAATGAACTAAAAGTAATAAAAGTAATAATTAAAATAACTGAAGGTAAGAATTAAAAGTAAGAATTAAACGTGATAACTTAAAAGTAAAAGCAATTTATTTTTAATTTTACAAACAAATATTGTCTAAGTCTACAATGTTAATTACAGAATAAAAAGAATTTATGTAAAGATTATTAGCTGATTTCTACAAAGTCTCTAATACTGGTAATATAATTACCATAGTATATTAAATTTTTTATTTATATATATAATTTTCATGATAATGCTACTATACTTTGTATTTGAATAGAATCCTTTTCATTAAAAAGATTATTAAGTGGTTTAATATTTATATTAGAATCAACCTCGACTTCATCACAGAATACGATAGAATTAGAATTTCTTCTATATCTCATTTCACCTGTACCCAATAACATTATATTATCACCAAATTCATTAACCTCATTTTCATCTTCAACTTCCTTAATAACTCTTTTTGCAAGAACCCATACATAAATTATTATACCAATAGCAATAGCAATACTACATAACATTAATATGAAATGAAAAGATCTTACGAAATTATCATTTTTTGATAAAGAAGGTTTAGTAGGATTATCTATTTCATCAGAAATCAATCCAAGATGAGCAGAAAAGGCAGAAAAAGAAGAAATCTTTGTTCCTATCCAAACATGAATCATGAGTTTAAAGAGAGATAAAGCAGTGGCGGCAATGAAGGTTGGTAAAGATAAATGAGTAGCGGAAAGTAACATGTTAAGTATATTATATGGATAAGGAGCTATACGTATGAGAAACAAAAGCTATAAACATGAATATGAACATGAAATAAATAAGTAATGGATGAGTAATGATTAAATAGAAATAGAAATGGAAACAAAGAAATTTAAGATAAATCATACCTTGAATCCTTTTTTTTCAACTGCTCTAACAATAGCACTCATCGATTTATTTTTATTTAGCCACTTTCTAACAGGTTTTTTAAACCATTGTCTACTCAACCAAAATACAGTGATAGCACCAGTTAGAGCCGCAACATAAGATATCAAGAAACCCAAACTAAAACCATATATGAATCCTGATAAAGTTATTAATGTACTGTAACCAAATACTAATGGAAAGGTGGTAAAAAATATTACAAAGTATAACATTATTATACCACTATATGTTTAAAACCAAAAATTATTAAAAAAGATTAATTATTTAAAAAAAGAATATTTCAGGAAAGATATGAAAATATTAAAGAAACATACCCAACTCCCATAGTTTGTATTTTATGTACAAGTCTCTCCAATCCAATCAAGACTTTATCTTTATGTATTATAAAAAAACATATTAATATAACCACCAAGAGTCCATAAATGAATAAGGGGATCCATGGAATCAGTTTTTTTAGTATCACACTGATATTTTTATGCCATCTATGCTTGGCATTTGTGAAAATTTTAATATATAAATCGATTTTAGCTTTAAAATTAATATTGGACATTGAAGAAAAATTTGTGGTAGATTTTTAAGCAACTTAAATAATTGAAAGAATAACCGAATAATAACTTTTTTTTATAGATTTAATTTCAGTAAAATTAAAATAGATAAAATTTTAATTTGCGAGAAAGGAACGATAATGATTGTACGTATAATAATGATTTATTATTGATTGAGTTTTTTTTTGAAGACGAAGATTATATAATTAATATTGAACAGGAAGATCGCAGCTATTTGAGCTATAAACTAGGAGAGTACAGGCTTACACTGTTTAACTAAAGTTTTTGTTGAGTTTTGTTGAAAGGAATAAATCGAAAAAAAGAATATACGTAAAAGGATTGTAGTAGTGATCTTTGTTAAACTCCGTCAACGTTGTACAAGGACCACGTATGATTGGATAACAAATTTCTTAAATTCCCCGTTATGCATTACGCCGCTATTATTATTTACTACATGCGTGCTAATATTTGGTGTAATTAACATCTTCCAAATATATCATATGTAATATATTACAAATTTGAAGGTGAAATCTATTTGTTAATATCGATAATAAAATAATTATTGATGCATGAGATCCACGAATAATTAAAGTCTTTGTTGATTCTTTAGCTTAATTTATTCGGATCGATCAAATAGAGTTTAATTTCATTTTTTTGTTACCATAGAATTAAAGAGTTTCATCGAATTAAAAAGAGTGTTATACAGTAAACCTTTTTATTTATAGTTCATTCCAGGGTCAAAGGACCATCCATTTTTTTTTTCATTACGTTTGATCGCTACGTACCGTACATATCAGATTCCTTATTGTGTCTGATCGTCAGATACCATGCCCAAGATGTACACGTCCACTAATGTCATAGAGAGTATTACATATAATTTACTTAATGTGAATTATAATAATATTGATATTCCCTGCACTGCCTCAAATTTGTCTACGTATCCAATGGTCTCATTGATTATCTCGAAGCTCTTGTGGATTAAAGGTTATTGGGTATTTTACGTTACACTTTACACATGACACTTTACAAATATTTGAAATTGTACGTATGTACGTACGTACAATTATCAAAATGTAAGCCAAATTACGTAGTTATTTTAATAATTTATTTCATTTATTTTACTATCAGCACTATTAAATACCTATCATACTAATAATTTTTAATACGTACCTAACATATTAATATTTTTAGATCTTTATTAATAAAACAACAATACATGCTGTAATGAGTAAAATTATATACTGTAGATTAGCAAATCATTAATCTTATTTGATATGGTCTTTTGATATGGTCTTGGGTTATAATATTTAGCTAATTGATTTGAATGATTAAATGTACGTATTAAGTTTCTAGTTACCAAAATAAATAATACGTTTATACACGTGAGTGAATTCACACGTTGATCTGCGTACTGGATTTACGTGTGAACGCACGCGTGTGGGGATTTTGTGATTTACTACGATAGTCTATGCTATTATGATGTCGTAACTATGGTACTTTGTCGATCATAAATTTTCGACTATCGCTATGATTAAGCCCGATATATTTGGCTTAGTTGGCTTAGTCGGCTTAGTCGGTTAGTAGATTATAATCCGGAACTTTTCGGAAATTTTGTCTCAACTAGTACTAGCGCACTGATGAAATTAATTTCTCCGATTCAACATAAAAGTCGCCAATAGTAGTGAATTTATTTCATCACACTAGCTTTGCTCGTAACCTTGCTTGGAGTATGTCGTATTTTAGGTTCGTTTATTTTCCACGTCTGAAATTTTAGAAATAGTGTAATTCTAGTTTTTATTATGTTTTGCATCTTTTAAAAAAAAAATAGATCAACCGGTTTTTTCATTATTAACCAGGTTCACTAAAACTTTCGTTAATTATGTAAATTCATGTCGATATGTAAAATCAACCTTTAAAATTTCACAATACAAAGAATCGTGACTACCCAGATCTTTTAGCATTTAATAAAATGTAATTTCGGGTTTGGCTCGAGGTGAATCTCCAATAGAGACAATAATATAGGCACTGGTTATTGAATAGTATAAGCAAAACTCGGTTATTCTCGTGCCGAATAACTGTATTAATTATGGTTAAGCAAAAGCTGCTTAACCTTTTTAACTTTTTAAAAATAAATGCTTTAATACTTATTATGTTAAAAATTATCGCAAAACTCCGATATTTTCTTGCAGATCTCTGAAGTCTTTTATCAGATATTACCTTCTAAATACATTGTAATGAGTCTATATGTAAAAATTTAGTCGAAGACATGTTTTTAAGGAGCGCGTGCATTTAGTACAATTTAGACCTTAGACTCTAGACTCTTTTAATATTAGAATCTCATAAGAACTAAGGATTGGAACCGTTATACCTATAATCGTTTGTTTATTTATATTATACGATTAAACAAGTAAAAAAATTTATAACCCGTTAAAAACCGTTAAATTAGTCGCTTAACCATTCGTTAAATTTTATATAGAGGCAAAAAAAAAATATGCGTATGTACTGTACATATCTATACTTATAAGAAAGATTTTTAATCGGATTTTATTCACAGGACAAATGTGCATCACTAGCATAATTATAAATAAGTTTTATTAAAAAAACAGGCCGCACAATCTTAAATAATCCTGATAACCTGTGAAAGCTCGTTGCTTTGTGGTGTCGACTCAAAGTCTCATTAGGAACAAGTTGTTTTGAAAGCACTGGGTAATTATCGGTAATATGTAATGTGACGTATATTTAATTGATAAAATAATCAATAAACGTTTCAATGATTAATAAGCAGTTAAACGGATAAACGATTAAATAATAAACTAAACGATTGACAAACAGCCAGACGGTTAAACGATTCATAGACGGTTAAACGATTATTAATCGTGTAGGCGACACGATTAACCATTAGCATGGTTCCAAACCCTAATAAGAAAATTTCTTTTAGAAGAAAAATGATAAAACTATTCCTTCATTATAATTGCCCTCATAATAGATTTTTTAATTGACTTAAGAAGCTCGCTTAAAACCCCTTGATTATGTTGAGTTTAGATAATTAAATCTTTAATTATAATGCTTACATATATTAACTTTGGTTCTCTTACAAGAATATTACTTTGATTTATTTAGATCTTTAACGTAATAAACTTGGTTTTAAATGTGTAAAGGAATTTAAGTTAAATTAAGGTTAGGATATGGATGCTTACATGACCTCAAAATGCTGGTTCTATATAAAAATCTTGAATCCACTTAAATTTCGTTTCCACTTACAACATATGTACTTGGACAGCTTAGAATCGAAAATAGAATATGTTATGTAACAGATGTAGATTCTCGAAATAACGAACATTGAATTCGTGTCCTTTTAAAGATAGTATAATTTGGTTTTAACTTTATAATAATCTTGTTCGTGTGATTTTTTTTAGCTTACATATGACAACTGTGAAGAATCTTCATAGTTATCACTAATGATCCAAATATTAGTTTCGGTTTTTGGCCAAAGTCGTCACATTTCATAGTTGTGTCAATAAATAGTCTCTTTTCATCGTTCAAAAGGATAAGTTCTGCTTTACCCCTCCATTTTCTATCATCTTTCGGACGTTATCATGGGAAATAGAAATTTTGAAACCGGTGATCCTTTAGGTGCGTTGGAGATAAGATTGTACCGTATATAGTGCTTTACAATGTTGTAGATATAAGCTTCGTCCGGTTAGCACCCCCACATCTTTGGATAATTGTTTGTGGATCTGCTAGATAACTCTGGAGCTTGTCATCTTCATATTCTATATACATATTATGCACGTAAACTTAATCCAAATCAACGATAGCGATAGTGTTGCTATAAAGAGAGAACACGACTATCAACATCAGTTTTACCTTTATAGATTGTACACGCTCGGTGGGAACCATACGAGCGAGTTCTTCGAGAAGTGACAAAATTTAAAGTCCTCTTATTAGTTACTTGTTTAGCTACTTGTTTAGCTATTTGTTCCATATGTAATTTCCATGTCCTAAAAATACAATTTACGGCAGGCTTGATCTCTAAAGGGAATTGTCTCTCTTCAGGCACTTTTACAATTTGAGTTTTCTCTTGTAGGAATTCTATGATGTTGCAGTCATAAACATTACTCTATTATGTATTAAAACCCGAATTCTCAATAATTCATTTAATAAATTTCAGATATCCAAAATCATTAAAATGAATTTCATTTATGACAATAGGTGTGTGTTTCAGTAGCACTTCCCATCTTTCTAAGAAAGTTTCGAATGTAGAATAAATG